TGTACTACAAAAAACAAGATTTCGATGGGTTGTTTCTGGACCTTTTTCTCCTAGGTTTTCTCAATCTGTTACTCATTGTAATTTAAATTTGCATGTCGAATTGCATACGCAGCTGGAGAAGTTTTGGCAAATCGAAGAACCACCGAGTACTCTGAGGCCAATTCTATCAAATGAAGACAAGGAATGTGAATCTCTTTTCACCCAGACTGTCAAAAGAGATGATTCTGGCCGATTTATTGTGTCGATTCCCTTTAAAAAATCTATATCTTTACTTGGGGACTCTAGATTATCTGCGAAAAGAAGTTTTTCTCTCTTGAAAAAAACCTGCAGAAAAACCCCAAGACAAAACAACTCTAGCTGGATTTCATGAATGAAACCATGGGTCACATGACATTATATGATAAAGATGACTCTGCTGAAATTTCATATTTTTTGCCGCACCACAGTGTTCTGAACGAAAATAGTTCAACTACTCGCTTGAGGGTTGTTTTTAATGGATCTGCTCCATCTGATAGTGGATTTTCGTTGAATGATCTCCAATACACTGGTCCAAATCTTCAGGATGATCCCATCTCTATTTTGCTACGATTTAGAATCCCCAATATGGTAGTATCTGCGGATGAAGCCAAGATGTATAGTATGATTATGGTACATCCAGCACAAAGATGCTTACAAAGGATTTTTTGGAGACCTGATGTCACTGAGGAATTGAAGGTATATAATTTAAACACCCTCACCTATGGAACTACATCTGCATCTTTCTTGGCTATACGTTGTCTCACGCAACTTGGGCTTGATTTTGAAGAGAAGCTACCCGAGGCTTCAAATATTATTTTAAACAGCTTCTTTGTGGACGACCTGCTCTTTGGAGCAAATACTGTTGAAAAAGCAGCTCTACTTAGCAACCAAGTGACTTTCATTCTTAAAAGTGGTTGTTTTGAGTTGAGAAAATGGGTTTCCAATGTTCCTGAATTGTTGAATCTTATTGAAGGAAATAGTCTCACAAGTAGTAAGCAGGAATGTTTGTTTGGAGATAAAACTGAACATAAAACTCTCGGTCTTTATTGGTCCTCTAAGACTGATGTTCTTATGTATCAAATATCATTACCCCCAACATATAGTAAGTCTACTAAACGAGTAATCCTTTCTATTATTGCTAGGATATATGACCCACTTGGTTTAGTAGCCCCTTGCATAATACTAGCTAAAATTATGTTGCAAAAATTATGGTGTGAGAACATTGGTTGGGATGACTCGCTTCCACAAAATATCCACTCTTCATGGCAAAGGTTGAGTAATCAGTAAATAAAATTGAATGAGCTTTTGATACCTAGCCAAATGATTTTGCAGGATAGCATTTTGATCGAGTTACATGGATTTTGTGACAGCTCCATTGAAGCCTATGGTGCATGCTTATATTTAAGGTCGGTTGATAAAAGCGATAAAATGAATATTTCTTTGGTTTATGCCAAATCTAAGGTAGCTCCTTTAAGGGTAGTGAGTGTGCCTAGATTGGAATTGTGTGGAGCCTTGGTGTTGGCTCAATTGGTGGATATTTTCAAACAGTCAATTAATGTAAATCTTTGTAAAACTTATTTATGGACTGATTCCTCAGTAGTTCTTGGTTGGTTGGCACAATCACCCCATAATATGCAAACATTTGTTGGTAATCGACTGTCCAAAATACAGACTTTAACTTCCATTGATGAATGGCATCATGTAAGCTCTAACCATAATCCTGCTGATATTTTATCAAGGGATATTTCCTTACAGAGATAAAGTCCTTTTCCAACACATTGTTTCTTATGACAAAAACCGAAATAATTTTTTTCTCTCGAAAACTGTTATAGATAAACCTATCGAATCTTATATCATTGAAATCATCGAGAACATAGCTTTCTAATAAACTATTGATATATAGGGTGTCTTATTGAAAAAAATCGGATTATGGTCAATATCTCGAAATCGAAGCCAGACAGAAAAAAACTGAGAACGTCACTGAATTCTGCTTGAAAAAGTGCTTCCAAAAGATCTGAATAAAACCATCGTTATTTATCTCTGATAGAGTTTTCGTTCTGACAACAAATTTTACCGTTAAGCAATAAAAGTTAGCTATCGTCAAAGCTATAAGGAAAAGTTACAAAAAAAGGAAAATACATGAACCCATGTTTAATATAGAATAGTTTTTCCTATAATTAGCTTTAGTTAAAGTCAATACGGCAACATCGCTTTGCCCGTACTCGTTAGCTAGGTGCTGCTCCGCAGCAAAAAATAGTATGACATTTGAAGTCTGTCAATATCGATCAATATTCATTAACATATTCTAGAATTGGTTGGCTGTTGTTGCTTTGATTTTTTGTAAAAAGGGAAAAATAAAATGGCCTTTTCCTACTTACAAAAGTTTGTCTAATTTACAAAAAGTGTTAACAGCAAATAACTGCAGCTCAGGCGTAAACCCATGTAAACCGGGCCTAAAAGTTCTATCAAAAATCGAAACAATAGCATGTAATATTGACAGTTGAGTTGAAGAGGGCGCTTCTGTACTTGGAGCTATTTAAATTTTGGCGCGTAAATAATTGATTGTAATTTTAACCTCAAAAGTTAAGTTTGATGTGTGGTTTCAAGACAAGCTGACGCTGACACTTTTAAAAATATTCTCTAAGGGCCACTGAATGCTTTGGAAGATATTTTAACTTATTCATTGTTCATTGTTCATATTGGAGTCATCTTTCCTTCTACTCAATTTAAACGGTTTAAAACTATTAACATTTACCGCCAAAATTTGAAGCACTCCAAGTTCACTCGCGCCCTCTACAAAATTTTGGAGAACTTAACTGGATATTTGCTGCCATGATAGTTGGAAAGTAAAATTACAAACTCTTGTTTGAATAACGGTAATTGAACACTGATTACGAGTTGAAATTTTAATTTGCCAATTTTTACTGAGGCTTACGAATGAGTCTACCAGATCTGGAGAGAGTAGTAGTGTAACAAAATCAATAGTAAATTCATAATCTCGGTTCAAGTTCATCTTTCGTGAGAAACAGTTTTCTTTTATAGATAGTTAAAATAATACATAATGGCATTTACAAACACATAGAGTTTCTGGGAACGACCTAATCTGGTCGACGATGAAATCACTTAAAAGCCAAAAAGGTATCAAATTTTATAGTTTCAAGATTATTTGGCTGTAACCCGAAATTGGCAAAATTTATGTTTTCTTAGATAAACAATAAACTTTAAACTAATTTGTAGTTGTACCGGATCACATGTGGTTTTAATAACTTATTCAAATTCAAAGATAGTCTTCTTAGTCCCCACGTTTTATGACAAACCCAAATGTCAGATAACTGATACTGAAAGAATTATATTCGAAGCATGTGCGTGTGAAAGAAAACAATAATTACATAAGCTAGATTTTTCAAGATACAATAACATAAATTTTATAATACTAAAATTATCAAGGGTTATTATTTAGGTGAAATGTGAACTGTAAGATAGTTAAATATTTAGGTGATATAGCTAGATAGTAGTTAGAAATTAGTAAATTAGAATAGAAGGCATAATAAGAAAGAAGGGAAAATTTTTCAATTAAAGGGGAAAACGTTAAATGTTAAATAATTATTAATTTCACATCATGTAACTAGCGAACTCTGTCGGAGAGCTATCAAACCGAATCATAGGATAAAACATTGTTGGTTGAGAAGCAATGCGAAAATAGCAAGAAATACCGGAGAGTAGGTACTCTCAGCGAATCGCTAAAAGTTGGGAGGGTTGGAGATCTTCGATTTTCTCGACTCTCAACCCCGGTACTAATAGATAGCCAATGGGCTTCTGAAGCGGTACCCAGAGAATGGTTCCTCTTACTTATTTAGGCAAGTGTTGAGGTCAGTTGTTGCCGGAAACTTAAATCTCAACAAATTCTCGACTTCTTTTTTCTCATCCTACAGTTCAACTGCCTCCCAGTGTTTAGCGAAGGCTCTTCAAATTCCATTAAAGTGTCAGTTTTGGGACCAAATCTTTCAATTTTTGAAAATACTGTCTTTCCTTTAATTTTTCTTTACTTATAAAACTCATAGCCAACATCAGTCGTTACATTTATTTGAATTCTATAAAAAAAATATAGACTTTTTCAGTGAATTAATACTTGTATTATTATGTAATAATAAATAATATGGATAGATAATATTATCACACGCCTCGCAGCTAGTGTGGGTAGGACCTCAGGTTAGAGGTTGCTCTTTAGGCAAACACACAACTTCAAAAAGGAGCTTAACGTATATTGTCTGCTTATGGGTACATCACCAAAGGGGCACTACGTAGGTGCGCCACATGATTTTCACGTTCGGGGCTCTAAGTACATATATGGGGATGAAACTGGTTCCCGCCCGTACAGGCAGTGATGCCCTGAAGGGCAAGAATCTCTGCAGTAAGACGACCCTGAAGAGCATTGCTCCAAGACTCTTTGGAGTAAGGCAACCCTGAAGACAAGTGTAGCTACTGCTCCTTTGGGCAAAAATTTCATCTCCGTCTCCACTGTATAACATCTGGCGGCCTCCACAGTTCATGGTGAAATTTAGCGTCGCATTTTTGGCGCCCAACGTGGGGCCCTCGTTATTTTAGGGCTATACTAATTGTAATCTTGTACTTGTTTTATCTTAAGGAAATCTCATTTGATACTTTATTCGTCCGAGTATTGATTTTTTTTACATAATACTCACTTTGCATTGGGCATTATTCTTGTTGTTATTATATGGCGAGTTGGAAGAATAGCACTCTACAGTATTTCTGGGTGTTGATTGATTGACTCACGGTGGCGCGGAATTATATGCATATAAATGAGACGCAAGTGTGCGTATTGAGGTTTTGCTGCGGTAGTTAAGTCATATCAGCTTTGAGAAGTGAGTGGTTGTTGTCCCATGTCACTCCTATTGTATAACAATATTTTAATCATTTTGCTCTCAATTGTCTTAGAAGTAATTATTGATTTTCATTTCCAGGATGCTCTTATCCTGTCGACGTCTCCACTTACCGAGCCTCATAGTAATCTGGTTGGTGTGTAGCGGCGTCGCGGGTGGCTCGAACCCCCTCTGTCCGGCCTCGTGCACCTGCAAGCCTACAGACAGAGGCAAAAAACGAATCAGCTGTTTGGCAGGGGGCCTTGCCGACCCCATCCCCACCGGCCAGATGGACCCTCGCATCGAAATTTTGGAAATTTCCGCTCCTGAAGACAAGAAGAATTGGCTCAGCGTCACCTCGATTTTTCAGGTAAATAAATTTGTGCAGTTTTATTTGAAATTTATATGGGTTGGAAGCGTCACACACGTAGTGCTTATAAAACTAGAAATATTTCCGTGCACACTATATATACAAGCACTTAATAAAAATAATAAAAAACACTGACACGGACAAAATTTTACGGTCTTTTTTAAAATATAAATGCGAACTACTGCACATATATGTATATTTAACTTATTTGCTCTGAAGTGCAGCATCAAATTTTTATATGTTAAGGGCTGTAAAATTGGAACGAACTATGGGATGTTATAAGTAGGGCAATCAAACCTTATATTCAAGGGTTTATTACAGTCTACAATAATATTTTAATGAGTTACCATTATATAATAAAAGAGAATTTTCCGTGACACGAACAAGCTTATAAAAAGAAGAGAATCTCTGTTGGATCTGTTGTGTACTTTATCATTCTCAAAGGTTGTAATTTCTCATTATTGAGAATTTCTAAAAAATAACACGTGATGAATTTTTCTAAATTCAAATAATAAATAATTGAAAAAATTGCCAGTCTTGTCTCAAACCATCAATAAAATAGATTTCCTACTCTCAAATGCTAAGAACACTTGTAACATCATGAGGTTTCTGAAGATGAACCCAGAAATTAGAAACAGGTAATACATTAAAAGCAAGGCTGAAGTAATTAAATTGTGGGGACCAAGTGACAGATTCATCTCAAAGCCATTTTTCAATGACTGACGCGAGTTTCGGCATCCTTTGATAGATGCGGTCTCCGGCCTCACATTTTAACGAAATCAGTTGAACCCAATAATCAATTTCCTTGATTACGACATTTTTGATTAAACAAATAATTATATTTCTTAAAAATAGCGGGAGAAGAGTCCTTTATGTCTAGTGAGTTAGATGTTTCTCATTCTTGAAAATCCCTAAGAGAGAGAGAGCAAGATAAGTGTAGATTATAAATTGTGATGGTTGGGGTGTTTAGGTTATGGACATCTCCGCAGTGCGACCTGGTTGGATCTATTTATTTGTAATTCCTCTTAAATCAAGTGTCAGAAAACTCTTAACCGTACTGGTGAGGCCAGGTTCACGAACTTTTCCAATTTCCCTCCCATTTAATTTATATGCTACTGATTGGAATAGGAAAGCACTTGCATTATAAGTCAAAATGCATTTTTCCGTTTGACCTACAACTGTGTTATATGATTTAGCGTTGCCTCTATCTATATAAAGTTCAGCTTGACTTATTTCCATGGAAACATCCTGCTAGTTGATAACAATTCCTATTTCGTCATTATAGTTGAATGATTTAGTGAATGGCTGATAAGTTTGCCATTCTTTACGTGCAATCGATTCTTCTGCGTCAACCGATTGAAATATTTGTAGTTTTTCTGACACGATAACCATATATTTGTGTGACAATGAATTGAACTGTAGAAAATTCCGCTGAGTGAGCGTCTGCGTCAATGTTTTTTTCTTAACTGATGTTAGTGTATGATTGTGATCATATATATTATACCCTTTTCCATCATGCTGTTGTGTCTACTGTTTATAAGGTGTATAATAATTGAAAAGTAAACCCATTTCTTCTCAGTTCTAATCTAACTATAATTTCTTCTTTCCTGAAATTTACCAGTCTTGCTTCTTGATTCAATATATTTATCGTGATATTATCAATACTTTTCCGGTTCACAGGTAAATGGATAAGATTACGAGGCTCCACAATAATACTATATCCTGATTGACTATTGGGGAAAACTCGAATAATGCGTGTGATGGTGTATTAGAGTAATAGGTGCCCCCAATTCGTATAGTGAGCACTTCAATAGTTTTTACAGGTAGACTGGATGAGTGTAGTAGGTTAGCCTTAAGAACCCCCTGAGGAAAATCCTAATAATTACCTAATGCTATCTTCAGGAGTAAAATTAATATCATAGATGCACTTTATTCCGCACTTTAATATATTGTTATTTGGTTTTGAAGTGACAACTGTAGTCTGCCTTCCTATTTTCTCACTTATTCGTTTTTGAATATAATCTTCCATCTCGTGAGATCTTGTAGGTTTTTCTATCTCATGATTTTCTTTACCAGCCCTTATTACAGCCAGGTTTAATGTTCGGAATGGAATTCCTTTCAGTGGCGGACTGGCTAGGTCGGCAGGTCGGCAAATGCCGACCGTGCCCCCCATTGCTCGGGCTTTCGTGTGTGCATTCGCATATAAAAATATGCTTTAAAAATAGTCGGTACATCTCTGTTCTCCAGAATGTCCACGAAAGTCTGGCAACGTGGGAACGCAGAATCGTTGTCTTCAAGTGATCACTATCTCGCAACAGCCCTAGGGATTTCAACTCCTGAGTGATCCCACTTTCGTCAGTACTTAGGCCATTCGGAATATTGGGCGAAGCTCTTGAGCTTCTCTCACACAAGTAGAGCACAGAACCGGACGGCGACTCGTCTCGTTCAATCGAGTACTCTGGCAACAGATGCAGGTCTTTCCTGGTGAAAGGTTTTGTCCTGACCAGTTGGGCAGAACAGTCGGGCCACTTTCTCAGAGTTCTGAGCAAAGAGGCGAACTCTGGCTCCATAAAGCTGGAGGGTGTGACAGCCAGAATCCGCACCTTCTCTTTGAAGGGGATTCATGACCCCGAAAACAAAGAATACGGAGCATGTAGACTACATGAATGCACTGGTAAAATCTGGCGCATAAATCGCAATCCCAGCTTCGTGGCAACGGGGCAAGCAAAAGATGACTGATATGTAGTCGACTTAGGCCGTGTTTATGTTGGAGCTGTGATAAACGATAATAGCAACAATACTAATGATACCTACTATATATTAGTATCGTTGCTTTTATCGTGTATTACAGCTCCAGCATAAACATAGCTAGTTTCTTTATGTCGCGAAGCTTCTGCAAGCCTGTATTTTGCAGCGCGTGCATCGTTTACAGCCTTCGCAATACCCGTAGCCCCACCACCAAGTGCCCCCAGAGCGCTTAGACCAGCGAATATTGGGAAAAGTGAAAGGAACAACCCAACTTTGAATGAAAACGGGTTTTCTGCTTCTTTTTCTTCACCACTTCTACCAAATTCACCAGACACATTCACATATAAGCTCAGATTTATTTATGAAAATTGATCATATTATAGAGATACACCCAATTGAATGACTCGAAAAATCAGAGTATCGTTGTACCACCGCCACCACCATCACCGCGTCAGTGCACGCTCTGAAAAGAACGGTAAGGGACATATAATTATCTGACACTAATGACAGTTCGGACACTGGAGCTGTGGAGCTCGACGCCTCTCTGAAGCGCCAGCGGTGGGGATAGACGACCCCGGTGATTGGCGCCCCGATTAAAAAGAACGGTTGTTTACATTTTAAAATCGTGATCGAGGGCGCTCTGGGGCACCTAAGCCCCTGAAAAGAAAGCAGCTTTCTAAGCTGCTTTCTTTTCAGGCATGTAGAAAGCGACAGAACTCAGAATCCGCGTCCTGAATGCTCTATCTCTGGTATCTCTTCACACCACGCACCGGTGCAACCATCTGCCAGTTGATAGTAAGGTCATTCACCATTACACCGCGTACCGGTGCAATCATCTGACAGTTCATCTGTCAGGGTCTAACCCAAGTAACGCTAGGCCTTTTCGGAAATAGTGATCCGATTAACCCGATCACCAGCTGTTTGACTTTTATCTTCCTTTAATGAATACGATTGAAAATAGACAAAGGATATCAGCTGATGATCCGGTTAATCGGATCAGTATTTCCGAAAAGGCCTGCTATCTATCGATAGCTGAATTTTCGCGACGAATATAGTTCATTCAAGGACGAGCCATAGTTCGCCTTGTGACGTCATGCCATGCTTTCGGAGAACTACGTTCAATAATGACGTCACGACTTTCTCGCGAAAGCATTTTAGACTGGTGGACATTTCCAGAAATCGTACTCTATTTTACTCCGAGTAACATTTCGTGCGAAATTAGGCAACTTGACGTTTCTAGGGTATTTTGACCTCGCTGAATCCGAATCCGGATGTTGCCAAGCCGAATTTTGCCTCCAAAGGCCTCAAATCCAAGATGGCGGCCAAACTAAGGGCCTAAATGATATTTTTCTTGAACTGTATCGTTATTGATCGGCGAAATGTCGTTTCATATGTTTCTGGGTCGCTGAACATGACTATGAGTACCGGAAGTCGATTCGGATACCGAAAGTACCATAATTCAAGATGGCAGCCGTCGGGGGCTTAAATAAAGAACTTTCAGAAGTTGGCATATTGTCAAGTGCGGCGTATCGGCACATATGTTTTCGACGTCGTCTAGATCAAAAATTAGCACCAGAAATCGATTAGGCAACTGCAAGTACCGTAATCCAAGATGGCGACCGGTTGGGGCCCAAATACCAAACTTTAAAAAGTTGCTATAGTATGACCACAAGTGTTTTGGAGGTCGCTGAACACGAATTTGATGTCGGAAAATCGATAAGAAATATGTTAACTCAGGTTTGCTGAAATATTATGGTACTTCCGGTATCCAAATCGACTTCCGGTACTCATATTCATGAACTTTGTTGACCAGTCAGAAACAACTACTCCGAGGGCAAATACCCCTACCGGCGTTGAACTACACTGATTGGTCTGAGCTTTCATTGGCAATGAAAATTGTTAGAAAGTTTTTATCAGGTAATGACCAACGTGAAATCAGGGACACAACGGTCCCTGTTTGGGAATCGACCCACTGAGCAGTGAATTCAGGCTTCCCGTGCCAATCCTTGACGCGTTTCGTCCTTGTTAGGACTCATCAGAACGACATAGCAAAATTGAACTTTGTTGACCAGTCAGAAACAACTACTCCGAGGGCAAATACCCCTACCGGCGTTGATTGCCAACGAAAGCTCAGACCAATCAGTGTAGTTAAACGCCGGTAGGGGTATTTGCCCTCGGGGTAGTTATTTCTGACTGGTCAACAAAGTTCAATTTTGCTTGGACAGGGAGCTACAGCCTATGTCCTTCTGATG